CTCCGAGTACGCCCACTGGTCCATAGCTTCCACTTGCGTTCGAAGAAACACAAGCAGTCGCACTCAGCAAGGTTCACGAACTGAATTGGATAGTGCTAATGATCCTTCCGCAGGTCCCCCTCTTACTTAGGTCTATTCGTTGAGGTGTTTGGGCCTAGAAATCAAGGAACTGTGGCTCTCGATCTCATGAAGTTTAAGGTCTGCGAGATTTAAAGCTTAGGGCAGCCCGATTTGGCCAGATTTTCCGCGGCACTTTGTGAAATCCCTATGCCTCGTTTTGATTGGTATTTACCACACTTCCGAAGGGTGGCAGCCCGATTTGGCCAGATTTTCCGCGGCACTTTGTGAAATCCCTATGCCCCGTTTTGATTGGTATATACCACACTTCCGAAGGGTGGCAGCCCGATTTGGCCAGATTTTCCGCGGCACTTTGTGAAATCCCTATGCCCCGTTTTGATAGGTATTTTCCACACTTCCCAAAGGTAACAGCCCGATTTGGCCAGATTTTCCGCGGCGCCTTGTCAAACGGGGCAAAGGGATTTGACAACGTGCCGGGGTCTCTGGCCAGGCCTGAGGCCGGAAAGGAATTAATATTAAAATATTAAAGTTTTTTAAATATTAAAGTCCCGGGCCGGACTTTAATATTTCAATATTCAAGGTTACTTTAATATTAAAATATCAAAAATATTAAAGTCCTGGGGTCTCCGGCCAGGCCTGAGGCAGCAAAGGACTTTAATATTAAAATATTAAAGTTTTTTGAATATTAAAGTCCCGGGCCGGACTTTAATATTTTAATATTCAAGGCTTGACTTTAATATTAAAATATTAAAATATTAAAGTCCTGGAGTCTCTGGCCAGGCCTGAGGCAGAAAAGGACTTTAATATTAAAATATTAAAGTTGTTTAAATATTAAAGTCCCGGGCCGGACTTTAATATTTTAATATTCAAGGCTTGACTTTAATATTAAAATATTAAAGTCCTGGGGTCTCTGGCCAGGCCTGAGGCAGAAAAGGACTTTAATATTAAAATATTAAAGTTTTTTAAATATTAAAGTCCCGGGCCGGACTTTTATATTTTAATATTCAAGGCTTGACTTTAATATTAAAATATTAAAAATATTAAAATATTAAAGTCCTGGGGTCTCCGGCCAGGCCTGAGGCAGAAAAGGACTTTAATATTAAACTATTAAAGTTTTTTAAATATTAAAGTCCCGGGCCGGACTTTAATATTTTAATATTCAAGGCTTGACTTTAATATTAAAATATTAAAAGTATTAAAGTCCTGGGGTCTCGGGCCAGGCCTGAGGCAGAAAAGGACTTTAATATTAAAATATTAAAGTTTTTTAAATATTAAAGTCCCGGGCCGGACTTTAATATTTTAATATTCAAGGCTTGACTTTAATATTAAAATATTAAAATATTAAAGTCCTGGGGTCTCTGGCCAGGCCTGAGGCTGAATATTAAAATATTAAAGTCCGGCCCGGGACTTTAATATTTAAAAAACTTTAATATTTTAATATTAAAGTCCTTTGCTGCCTCAGGCCTGGCCGGAGACCCCAGGACTTTAATATTTTAATATTTTAATATTAAAGTCAAGCCTTGAATATTCAAATATTAAAGTCCGGCCCGGGACTTTAATATTTAAAAAACTTTAATATTTTAATATTAAAGTCCTTTTCTGCCTCAGGCCTGGCCCGAGACCCCAGGACTTTAATATTTTAATATTTTAATATTAAAGTCAAGCCTTGAATATTAAAATATTAAAGTCCGGCCCGGGACTTTAATATTTAAAAAAACTTTAATATTTTAATATTAAAGTCCTTTTCTGCCTCAGGCCTGGCCGGAGACCCCAGGACTTTAATATTTTAATATTTTTAATATTTTAATATTAAAGTCAAGCCTTGAATATTAAAATATTAAAGTCCGGCCCGGGACTTTAATATTTAAAAAACTTTAATATTTTAATATTAAAGTCCTTTTCTGCCTCAGGCCTGGCCAGAGACCCCAGGACTTCAATATTTTAATATTTTAATATTAAAGTCAAGCCTTGAATATTAAAATATTAAAGTCCAGGGCCAGAGCCGCCGAACATTAAAATATTAAAGTCCCAGGGCCAAACCAGGGCCAAACCACATTATACATATTTTTCCTTCTTACGGGGGGGGGGGTATGGCAGGCCTAGATTCCCAAGGCCCTGCAGAAGTTAGAAGGGTTCCCGAATCCGGAGGCATCCTTTCGCCATGCCATTCAGCAGCCCATTCCTCTCACATCTTCGTGCGTTCTCGGTTTGTCCACACCGTTTGCCCTGCGCAGCTTCCTAATAAGTGGGAATGGCTAATGTAGGGTTTAGGGACCGAGGCAGTTTTTGGGTTTGTTGTGGAAATGAAAGCAGCTCAGATGCGCAAGCAGTATCAAAAGTGTGCAAGCGAGCTGTCCTTGTACATGTAACCCTAAACCCTAAACCCTCAACCCTCAGGATGTAGGGCTCTGACAACGAAGCTTCGGGTGCAATGCAGACATAACCAGGAGGTGCAGATCCATGGGGAGATCGACTTCAAGAAACACATTGAAGCCGCTGCTCGCCACCGAAAACGGCCCCCAAGACTGGGTTTAGGGTTTAGGGTTTAGGGTTAGTGAGGCTGTGAACCCTAAACTTTAAACTTCTACGTCCGCCATTGCTTCGCGAGACGATCAGTTCAGGTGGTTCTGAGGGCTCCAGAACGAGAATTAGGAATCCTCGGTAGGCCCTTGAGACATTTTGTCTTTTCCCTTCTTGCGCCCACCTGAGTTAAAGAGGATCATGTTCAGGAACATCTTCCAGAGGGTTTTCAGTGCCATCCTAAAGTTCCAATTTGCCAAAACACACAGCGATTGTCATGTGCCATCCTTCCTGGCAGGACTTAACGCACAGTCGAGCGAACACAAGGAACAGCCACCGTGGGCACCCACGAAGAACACATAAGGACGTGAATCGAATCCGCACTCACACATGAGGTGGTGGTGCATCCTTCGCGTCGCAAAGGCAAGCAACTTGAAAAGAGCCTTGCCTGAACCTCCTAAGTGTGTTTTGGGGCTAGGCTGATCTTTGGGGGTATACTTGGCCGCTTATGCTGGGAAGCCATTCAGGAGCCAAGTTATTTTCTACTTAGCTTGGCCCCTATACTACCTGACCTACGTGCCTGCTTTGTCGGTCATGCATGCATGTCCTCCATGACAGAAGCAGACTGTTCGCAAACTTGTTTGCGGTCTAGCCGCCTGGTGAAGTTGCGTGTCAGAACCGCCGGCGCCCACAAGGATTGAAGCCTGGTGTCGGACGATCAACGTCCCTCTCCTGAGCCTTGGCCGGTGAGATGGTGCTCCGAGGGCTGCATGTTTCCGGAGAGTTTAGGGTTTAGAGTTTAGGGCTTCATGTTTCAGAGCCTTGTATTCCACGTCGGGGCACGGATTTGTGCTCGCAAGGCCTGCTAACCCTCGCAGAGCTTCCTTGCTAGTGAGTCGTGCGAGGCGTTGGTATGCGGTTTACGTGGTTGTGTTGGTGTTGTGCGAAGTGCCTCTCACGAAGTGTCCCTAGAACTGAGACATGAACCCTAGAGCCTCCCCCGGTCGTGTGGGAGTCGAAACCCACCCTGAGAGCTCATCCTCTCAGCTTGGTTCGTAGCCATAGTTAAACGACCTTAAGTCGGACTATACGAAGTATGGCGATTTTCCTTTTCCGAGATATTCATCTCTGTGCCTCGTTCCGAATTTCATGTTATTATTAGGATTGCTTTCGACAAGCCGTAAGAAGTTCTTCTGTGCAGAGGCCACGCCCTGAAAATCCTCCTCTCGTTTGCAACTAATGCAAATACATGGGCTGCCAAACAAAATGCTAAATATCGAAAAACCCAAAAAGCTAAAAATGCCCAGCAACAAAAATGCCAAGAGTCTGCGGAGAAGGCTATGCTTGTGGGTGTTCACAGTTAGACAGTCTTCTTGGCCAACAAACTCAGTTTTTCATTCGAAAGCCAAGATGCCCACGTGTGTGTTTTGTTTTCGGGCTTCCGGAGGCTTGAGCAACAATGACGAGGTTTTCCAATACCCCCAAAAGACTGTAGTTTTGGTTGTGGGGTTTGGGGGGCCTGCAAACTAAGCAAGAACCTAGGCTTTTTGTTTTTTCCACCAAACAGTACAAGACAAGTACACAGAGTAAGTAAATGTGGAACAACGAGAACTGGCCTTTGGGCCAGGTTTTTGGTTGGTTTTCTGGGCTGTTAACCTGGAAACAAGAAGGGGACTGCCATTTGAAGCCACCCACTGGGAAATGATGCCCTGCACCCAACAAATCCCAGAATGATTCAAACCAGACATCCACGCAGAAGTGGAACCGACGGCATTTTTTGACTGTTTTCCACTCATTGGCATTTTCTGGGAAAAAGTCAAAGTGCTATAGGGCTTTTTGAATGTTGAGAGTCCGGAGACCTAAGCTTCTCGCAGTTCTAGTGAGAGTAGGTGCTGAAGGAGACCGAGGCCGCCAAGTCAGTGCTTGTGAGCATGGCCCAAACTCGCGAGACGCAAAGCGTAGACAGGACTCAAACAAGCGGCCCGGGGTCCTCACAGCAGTCGGGCTCGCACTGACGACATTCTGGGGTGGGCCAATGCCAAAGACCTCGCCTTCGGGCCAGTTCTTTGGAATTGTGTTGTTTCTTAGTGTTTCCTCTTCTTGACCTTTTACAGTCCCGAGAAAATGTAGAAAACACATCTTCATGTTGAGCATCTTCATGTTGAGGTGGTTTATAACGTACCACCGCTTCATGCTACTGACATGTCAGTGCTAGTTAGCAGGAGGGCGGGAGGGAACAAATGTGTACTTTCATCTTCTTACGATTTTCATCTGATACGCTTATGGCTTATGCAGGTGCAACGACATGTATGTGTCGTTCGTTTCGTGTATCTTCACTGTGTACGTTGCTGTACGTCGAATCAAAACATGGGCAATGCATCATGCCGGCCCAATTTAGGCGGATGCCTGAGTACTGCGACGGCACAGCCTTCGACACCCAGTGGCCAGACGTTTCAGCGTCCCAGCTGGTCGTCCGGTGCCTAGTTTTGGCCTATTGGTGCCCGGTGCTTTGCCCACTTGGAAGTTGAGGGGTGCTATGTAGCCACACCTGTTGAAACAAAGGGAAGCTCTATGGGAACCCCAACACAGGAAACCCCAGAAACACAGTAAGTATGTGAGCGTTTTTTGCTGTAGTATACGAGCACAATGACCCGCGTTATACTGGGTTTCACTGTTTTGGGGGATTCCCATCGGGCTTCTGTTGTGAGATGGGAACTCCGCAAAGGAGAAACCCTGGAGCCTTCTCTACACTGAGGCAGAGACGCCTCTCTGGAGATGGCGGCCCCGACTTTCCACTGGACACCCCTTGCAGTGTCACATATACGGTTTATGGGTTTAGGGGTTTAGGGGGTTTTAGGGTGTATAGGGTTCAATATAGTGCATACGAGAGAGCCTTGGGTAGGAAGGGTGTATAGGGTTGTTTCGGCTAAACGGGTTTGCTGGGCTTAAGTTCGAGACAGCAAGTTCCTCGCGCGTGGTTCAGGCTTGCGCGGGTTTAGGGGGTTTCAAAAGGCCTGCCACAGCAACCACGAGGGCATTCTGGAGTGCGGAGACCCTGCAGGACCCTGGGTGCGCTTCGACGCCATATCGTGCCTGGGCGTGGAGAGATCCCTTCAAGCTTCAGGGTACCTACTCCTTGCAAGGTAGTGGGGTGTTTTCCTAAATGCTCCGCTGTGGCTCGACTATGTGGTTGATGCGCATGCATGCCGCGGTTTGTGCGACAACTTTTGCGGCAGGAGGCCGTTGATAGTGCGGAAGGCCACAGCGACTCCTGGTGACTGCACTCGAGCTGAGCCTGAGCACACTTTGGTTTCTGCACTGAGGTCATCGATTCTGGAGGCACCTCTGGGGCCGGGGTATGGGTCTTTTTGGGGGCAAGTTGGGGCTTCCCATGCTGTAGGGCTTGTAGGGCTTTATAGGCCCTGAACCAGGTGGTGTAAGAATCGGTATGGTGTGTGGAGGAAAGGAAGTCACTACCCTCTAGGAGTTTTCAGGCATGGTGTTGGAGGTACGATGTGATGTTGTTCGTGCTGGTTGGGGGGCTTTAAGGGGTTTACGAGTTGGGTGTGGCCATTGGGGAGCGGCAAGGTGAGGGAAGGCTCTGAGCTGGACCTATTCCAAGATGATTCCCTGGTAGTCTCTCTATATAGGTATGTACACGTGTAACACAAACCATCCATCAGAATCTACTCTGTTTGGTGCGTATTAAGTGGAGGTCTTCTGCTGACCACGGCTGCAAGATGCTTTATAGGCTTGTTACACATCCTCGGCATTCCCTAGCTTTGGAAACTTGTACCGGAAGTCTAAAGCAAAACGTCCCTGACCCCCTTATACTATATCCCCCTTTGGAAATTATTCTTCCATTTTTGTTGATATAAAACCCAGGAGGATCTTAAACATATTATGTTTATAAAGGTTCTAAGGGGATTACAGTATATCAACTCGTGTACGTTAACCCTTTGGAGGCCCGGCAGCGGGAAGTCGGCAACGACTTTCCCTGCATTCCTGCTCGGTCCTCGGACAGGTTCAACAGACCCGTGAAGGGTCTCAGGGTCTAGTTAAGCCTTATAAGGATTTAGGTCTCAGGGTCTAGTTAAGCCCTTATAAGGATTTAATTAGGTATCAGGGTCTAGTTAAGCCTTTATAAGGATTTAGGATTGGGCAATATTGACAAGAGGATTGACGAATATTGAGGATTTGTGTTCTCCTGCCATCTTTCATTTCCCGTGGATATTGCGAATTGGGCCTGGACCGTGAGCTCTGTGCGCACGTGCATGAATAGACGTGAACGTAGCCGATATGCATGTTTTTGGCATGCCTCGACGTGTGGATCCGGTAGCGCACATACTGTACGTGAACATCGCAGTTCATGTCAGGCTTCATGCCCTATCCCTATAGACCCTAAACGCGATCTGCCTCGCTGTTGCCGGAATCTTACGCCAGCTTGCGCCAGTGAAGCCAAAAACCTCAAGTTCTCGAAGCCCCAAGCTTCCAGATGAAATCCCAAGACCACGAAACCTCAAGTTACCTAAGCCCCACATTCCCTTAGACCCTAAACCCAACAGTTTCCTTAAAGTGTTACATCCCCCAAGTTCCCCCAAATACCCCCCCCAAAAGTCCCTCTGAAGCCCGCCCGGTGGTCCAGGGCGCGATTTTCTGCAGCCTGGACCTCCTGGCCATGACGACGAAAGTGCTTGTGGACCGAAGGGAGGCCTCTGGGTTCCTCCTTGGGGGTTTAGGGTTTAGGGTTTAGGGTTTAGGGTTTAGGGTTTAGGGTTTGGGCTTCGGTGGTGTTTAGGGTTCAGGGCTTCAGGGTTTAGGGTTTATAAGGTTTGGGGTTCAAAAAGGGCTGAAGGGTTTAAGGTTGAGGATTTTGGGCGCCACCCCCCCTAAGACACCCCCATTGCTTCCAGACACTGTCACATGGGTTGCAGCACCAGCAGCAGGGACTTGCAGGAACTCATCGCCCGAGCCCAGCATAGGGCGGCATGGATTGCAGTTGTCGCAAGCATGCCTATCAGTATTTACACCTTGTGGTGCATGCCATCTCCGCAACTCGTTGGCGCAACATCTTCAGAATGCAAGTCGCCTTGGATTGTTTGTTTACATATTCTTGAGGGCTGGCGCGCTTGTTGCTCTCTGGGCGCAGTGATGTCCCGCAGTGCTTTGGCGGGCAGGTGGAGCTTAGCTTGCAACGCCGCACTGCCGGTGCGAGACCCAGATGCAGAGTTCGGGGAGACATCTTTGCGGATTTTATGGGGTCTACAGGAAAGATTCACGGTGCAAGGCTTGCATACGCATAATAATAGAGACGCGCTTAGGGAATTCCTCGGGTTTCTCCGCTGGGTTGGGAATTGTGAGGTTGGGAGTTTGGTGGGATATTGGCCTTCTGGTCCGTGTGCCATATGGCAGTCACCGGGAAATTAACTGTGGAGGGCATGGTTCTGCTGTGCAAAATATGCAGCCCACATCTCCTCTGCCACCACCTTGCTGGAAGGATACGAAATCCATGGAAATCCCTCGATTCATGCACCTTGGTACATGTCTTGCTTCAATGCTATAAATACCCAAACTACAGATGTGACGTCGATGCCAGAGGACCAGTTCTGCAGCCTGCTAGCTGCTAGTTACAGGATGTTACAGGGTTTTACCATTCCTTGTTATTCTGCCACCCGTACCAGCCACGGATTGAGATGATTAGGATTGATCACGTTCGGACACGTGCGTGACTTTATGCCAGTTGGCATGCGCTCTTTGCCTGTCCAGGTGCAGGCGCCCGGGAGCGCGCGGGCGACAACAGATCTCGGAACCACCGGGCCTTTGTTTGGGAGTGCCTTGGCCGGCTTTCAGGAGTGAAAACCTTCGTATGTGCAGTTAGCAGAACAAAACCTTGCCACAAGCGGCAAAGTCCGCTAACCACCTCGGGGCCACTTTGCAGACATCATCATGCAGTACTTGCAAGTCTGGTGATGCATGATACCCGCGGTCCGGACGAGCTACGAGGTCCCTCAACAAGCGGCTCCTGCGCTGCTCCACTTCTACTTCTGATGGTGAAGGGCCGACTCAACTAGATCAAACTCCCAGTACTGGCTTTTACACAACAACGAAGAATCACGGGCCTCATAGATAGGTTTGGGTGAACTTGAGGGTCATCCCAAATAATTGTCCGTCTTGACGGTAATGACGATACATACACCAGACCTGTCCCCAAGTCTCCTGCCAGGTGGTGCGCCTCTGCCAGTGCGGATCTCAGTTTACTTATAGGGCTTTTAAGAGCCCTGGAAGATTCCGTTCAGGGTTTAGGATTTAGGGTTTAGGGTTTATAGGCCTCGAAACTCGGAAGTCGAAAGCCAGCAAGGAGGCAACGAGCAGAAGCCGCCGATGAAACCCGAAAGCAGCAAAAGAAGCCCAAAGCCTCAGATTCGAAGCCATGGGCCGAGGTGGCCATGGGTCCTGGTGCTGGGACCTTGGAGAGTTCCCCTAAACTCTAAACCCCTAAACCGTCCAGTTGCATCGGCTTTCATGGTGGGATCCCCATAAGTGCCCACAAAAGAGCCCTTAAACCACAAGAGAGCACCTGGTTTCAAAGGAGGGGGTCTACCTAAGAGAGTGGCCTGTTCGGAGACTCGGAGAAAGTTTGGAGGATATGGGGGGGTTTAGGGTTTAGGGTTTAGGGGGAGGGGAGTCCAGATGCAAAAAGGGGGAGGGAAGTTGAGGGTTGATGACATGCTTTTGCGCTTCGGGGGCTTGGGAGGGGGGGGGGGGTGGTGGAGGGATACTTTCAGGGGGCATTTTCGGGATTTTAGGGCTTAAGCTTCCACTGGCAGCCTGCATGTCGACTCAAACAGATTCAGTGCTCGAGAACTTGCTTGGTGTTTCGCTCGATATGGAGAGGTTTTCAGCAGTTAGGAACCTAGGGTTTAGGAGGACAAGAGGGATCAGGGTTCAATCCGTCTACAAGAGGTGCTCATGTCAGGGGCCTGCTCTTCATGTAGGTGCCTGTCAAGGTGCGTACGATGCTGAACGCTCGTCTTCACTTGAGAAGGCCTCCTTCGTGACGACCCTTCCTTGACATGGGATGGATGTTGTTTTTTGGAAGAAGGGGGTTTGGCTCTCCGGTTTTTGTCACCCGCCCAGCTGGGAACGAGCTTTTTAGGGTTTGGGCCTCACAGCTTAGGGCTTTTACGGTTTAGCGTGTTTAAGGCTTTTTCAGGGTCTATAGGTCTTTGCTCAAGGGGTCAAAGGGGGTACAACCGGGTTGAGATCCGCAGTCATCATTTGGGTGTGATGTAGCCTGAACCTTTCGCCGTAAGCCTTAAACCCTCAGCTTCCCCCTTTAACCCCCAAGCTTCCAAAACTTCCTATACCCTGAACTTCCGAAACTTCTAAAACCCTTACCTCCCCAAACTTCCCAAACTCCATAAAAACTGCGTAATCCTTAAAGTTCCGATACTACTAAAGCCTAAACCCTTAACCCACTACGGGGCCGCAAATTGGGCCCTGGCCGGGAGGCCTGGAACCAGCGCGCCCCGCGCGTGAGCTTCAGCCCCCTGTCCGCAGTTGAGGTCTCATGTGTAACCCTAAACCCTAGAAAACCCAAAAAACAACCTAAAAGTGGGATTTAGGATTTGGGTTTACCCTAAACCCCTGGCCTGCCTTGTGCGAGTGTGAGAGCCGAAGCCCGAAACCCCAAAAGTAGGGTTTCTTAGGGTTCCAAAGGCTTAGGACTTCTATCGCGTTGAGGGCTTAGTCGGCTTCAGGGTTCATGCTTTTCTTTGTAAAAAAGAGGGTTGAGCCGGCGTTGGGGTTCCTCTGGTGTGGTTTTTCAACTGGGAGGCATGAACGGAGTGAATTACAACGTCGACTACGAGCTCATGGTGCAGGTGCTGACAAGCTGGAACGGGCCGGATTTGACGCTTTGGAGTTTTAAGGGGACCCAATCACTTTCTTCAGCCTTCCATGGGGGAGGATGCTTGCGTTGTTCAGACCGGGTTGCTGTGGGATGCTGTGGGATTAAATTTGCCAAACGGCCCGAGCATGCGGGCTGATGTCAATGTTGCTGCCAGGTCAATTGCGAGACAAGATACCGCAGGCTTGTTCGTCGACGTCCTGCATGAAACCAACTGCTAGCACGGTATTTGCCGAAGCAGATGCCGTTGGAAAAATGGCGCGTGAGTGTCGAGTCGCCATGCCGTTGCTGTACTCTGGACCATGCATGGCCAGAGGGCCGCACTTGCACGCATATCGGCAAAGCATGCAACAGGACGAAAGTTCGGGAGGGAGGGAAGGGGGGGGGGGGGGGGCAGGACAGCCCCAAAACCAAACATTTTGTTTTTCAGCTGTTTGGCCCATGAGGGCAAATGCTTGTGTTCCGGCCCCAAGTATTTGCAAACAGCCCTTGACAGGATTGCCAACCATGCAGCTTTCAACAACAAAGCTCAGCACGCCATGTGCACAGCCATGGCGGTGCGATGAGCCAAACTGCTGCCATTGTGGAAGGGTTCCGCCCTCCCTCTTCAGATGAAAGGGCAGCTGGACGAACGCTGTGTGGCGAGCTCAATGGGTTTTCAAGAGTATACTTATACAATGAAATGATGTGGCAAGCCTCATATTCCCCAGATGCCTTGACAACCACCGTCCAAGATTGCCCTCAGGCGGCGCGCTGCTTTGGCCGCCAAAGGCGTTCGCCAGAGACCCCAATACGCCTTCATTAGATGTTACTTACTTGTTCTAATCGATGTCCAATTCGCTCTAGGAAGCTGAATCCATGGAATTGATAGGATGCATTCTAATTTGGAATGTTTGTGGCCCCGTGACGAGTGAAGATTGAAATATTTAGGGTAAAGAATGGCTTGAGGCGAACACTTTGGAAGCAGCCAGTCCGTGAAGGTTACTTTGGGCAGCCTACGCATCTTTTTAAAGCATAGAGTGTGAGAAACCATCAACACACGACTCGGTACTTAAGAGGGCTACATGTCGGAGTGCTTTCAGACGGCTGAAAAGGCCGACCAACCTAGGCAGCAAACTGACTTCCTAAACTTATAAATGGGCCACTTCTAAGCCGACATGGTACGAGTTTAACAATTTTTATTGAGAAGCTCAGCCACCCCTAAACACCGCCCTCAAATCCGCAAGCCGGTAGAGCAGCACCCCACAAGATACCCAAACCCTGAAACCACGCGTGGATCCTTGAAGCCTGAAACCCGAACCTACAAGCCTTAAACATGTAGTTCCCACTTCCCGACCAAAAACCTAAAACACCCGAAGACCTCGACCCCTTAAAGTATTTGAAAGTCCTGAAGCCCTATGTTTTTTTCCCTAAACCCTAAACCCTAAACCCTAAACCCTAAACCCTAAACCCCCAAGAGGCACCCAGCCTCGCAGAGCTTTGCCCTGGGCGCTCGGATGCGGCGGTGCCGCCTGCACTGGCGCTGGCCTTGCGGCGCCACTGGGCCAGCACTTCTGCAGGGCCGTTTTGGGTTTAGGGTTTAGGGTTTAGGGTTTAGGGTGTTTTTGGAGTTTTTTTTTCTTCATTTTGGTGTTCGGCTTTTGTGTGTGTGTGTGTGTGTTTTTTTTTTTTTTTGTGGAGGGGGGGGGGGGGCGGGGGTTGGGGGGTGGGGGTTATAGTATAGACCTACTTATTGCCTACAGGATGTTGGATCCCTCTGCAGGCAGCAGGCAGGCAGGATCATTACAACATCCGGGCATCTCTGCAGGCTTGTATAGAATCTTCTTGGTTGCAGCTGCTTTCGGCATATGTACGTGTTTGGAGTCTACAGTTGTTGCGGGCTGGAGTTAGTGTTGGCCAACGTACCGATCATGTGGCATAACCTGTGGCCACCTTTGCATCAGCTGTGATAAGTCATAATCGTGACGAAGGCGGTGATTCTGATGACGACGATGACGACCATAGTAGTGATACTTGGAGGCTCAGGGGTTATAGGTAGGGCTGTCGGTAGGTTACAACCTCAAGTGCCCATGAAGCTCCCGGTGGGAATTGGTGAGGTGGCCTTCCGGACATTCTGCTGTACAGAAGTTTCCTGCTCCTCGCGCGGGCGAAGGGGACTGTGGACAAGGCTTGAGGGCAGCGACTAGCAACTAGCCTGAGTAGCCAGTATGGGGGGGCGGGGGGCGGGGGGGGGAGTGGCTTCGTTGAGTTGGGATACCCTTTTTTTGGGAGGGTTCCTGTATTGAACAAAGGACCCCCCAAAAATGAACTGCAGGGGGCCCATGTGTTGGGCGTTGGGGTTTGGGGTTAGGGTTGGGGTTTTGGTTTAGGGTGTATTCAAGTTCACCCCTTTAAAACAAGATGCTGAGATCACATCATTCATCGTTGGACATGTTGAATTCCCTCAAGCTTCAAACCCTAAAGCACAAGACGAACAGTAAAACTTGCTGTCCTTCCTTGTTTGTTCTGTCGGGAAACATCCTTCTTGATAGTCGTTCAGTTGAGACCGACCGACTCCTGGCCTGCCTTGTGCAAGTGTGAGAGCCGAAAACTTAAGGCTCGCCCCTAAACCTTCAAATTGACTAGTTGACCTTGATTTCGGGAAGGAAGCCGAGCGGGCATACACGCCGTTACTGGTGAAGCTCAGAAACATGGGCTTTCTGGTTCACGACTCCCTCCTGCTGCCTGAGCCTCGGCTGCACAAATCACAGGCGGAGTGCGACTTGCTCCGGGCATGGGTAGTTCCCGAAGGGACGGACAGAGGGCATGCACCTCATGAAGTCATCCCTGAGGGTCCGCTGGGAGTACCGTGCAGGAAGTAGCCACCACGAGGGTTTTGTTTAAGGGGCCGGGGCAATGAGCCATGGAATGCGAAATTGTGATCGCCAGTTTCGACCCACAAACTTTGTTGCGAGCCCTCATCGACCCTTGCTGTCCGAACATTGCGAGATCTCGTGGAGAGGTCCGAAATGTTGGTGTCCACCTAAGAGACCCATACATTTTCGTAGGGTATGATGAGAAAAACCCTGACAGTCAGATTTAACCTTTGACGCTCTTCCCCAGGCAGATGTGGCTGGCCAGCGCAGGCTCCTTCTGCTGCTCGGCCGAATTTGTGAGGGATGTCGGGACAAGTTTTGGGGTTTTCGGGTCTAGGCCCAGGTTGCCCAGTATTCAAGGTAGGTTGAGGGTTTTGCGGGGCTTGAGTTCGGCTTGAATTGGGAGGGTGTTGCCCAAATCAGGTCTCTCGGAAGAGTCCGCACTGGGCGCAAGTTGGGAGACAACACTGTGGCCGAAATGGTCTTGCCGCAGTGCACGCCCTCCATCTCGTCATTTCTGGTCTTGGACCACACCTGTGCATTTCTCGGATGCCGGTGTCGCCGACTTAGGTTGGTGCAGCCACCGGAGCCTTTGAAGATCGTGCCTTGGTCAGAGATGTGGCGTTGTGGAGTGTCCATGTCAAGGGGGTTCGGGGCATCTTGAGCCTCCCAAAGCACCAGGCGAGAAGCTGACATTGGGGTTTTATATCGAAGTCTGAGAAGTGCCTTTGTTTGTAGAACTCGCAACCTGGTTTTGGTCGTGGGGCGGGCTTCTGGCTTCAGTGCTGAAGCCTGACCATCGCTTGCATTATCTTCTCTGCCGCATCAGCGCATCCCAATGTTCATAGACAGCAGGTCCAGCTCGCGAAAGTCCTTCGCAGCCTGGATAGTCCGAGCCTCTCCGTGACGCTGCAGCCGCAAGTGCCAACGGCCCAGCTGAGCATCAAAGACGAGGCGCGGCCGGGGGGTGGTCCCCCCCCGCAGTTTTGAAACTGCCGATGTGTGGTGGCCCCAAACCCGGAACCTCAAACTCATAGATGAGCAAAAAAGTTAAGGGGTAATGAGGGTGAGTTTAGCAAGTTGAATAAATCCAATGCTGGCCATACACGCGAAGTACAGTGATGATTCGCCCTCTCCTTGGGCCGTCTCCTCAGGCTTCACAAAGACCCTTCCCAAAGGGTCTTTCTTTGCCAGCCGACCGAGTTTACTACGTAAGAATTTGCGAACAATTCGTTTGAGTGTCCAGTCCCGATACCTTGCAGGGAGGGGGGGTGGGGGAGCGGGTGGTGCGGGGATCCGTGCAGCAAACCGTGTTTGGGTGTTTCTTGCTCTGGGGCGTCGGAGTGTTTGAGTGTTCTCCTGGCATCTGGCTTACACGACCAGATTGTTTGAGTGTTTCGGTTTCTGCCGTTGAGTGAAACACCTTGACTTGTTTAGAAGCCTTGCCAGACACACAGAAACACTAAAGGCTCATTGCTGACCCGTTTGAGTGTCTGAGTGTCTCAGTGATTGGGTGTTTGCTTCATTGGTCGTCTAGCAATATGCCTTTTCTGCAGAGCTCTACCGTCGAAACCTTCAGCTGCCACAGGCCCCTGCAAGAAGAAAACCCCAAGCAGTCAGTACAGTCCTCAAAACCCTACTTTCCCACTTTTCCGTACCCGTTCTTCTACCCCCCGACTACGGTCCATTGAATGAATGGACCCTTTTCTGCCGTCGGAAGTCGGCTTCTAAGCACAGTTCCCCCCCCCCCACCGCAGCGCCTTCTTCCCAGAATTTCGAAGGGTGGGAGTGTCTGGCGGTCGGGCACACAGACACTCAGACGGCGCCTCGGGGGTTGCGTTCTTCAAAACGGATCCATGAGCTCCAAACGCCACGCCCATTACAAGCACTCCGCAGGGGCTTAAAGCTGAGCTTCAACAAACGCACGCGTGAACGACTGTGCGCATCGCCTTTGCGGCAACAGTGGGTGCCAGACCGTCTGAGTGTTTGTTTTTCTTTATTCTTTATTCATGTTGCGCCCCCATGTGCACGCTCTCTCCAAAAAAGCCGGGCCAGCCGCCTTTGTACCCTAGTATATATTTTTTGTTAGCTACTAAATATAATCTATGTGTGTATATCTATATATTCATTATACGCCATTCTATATTATACATGGTGGCTGCTTTAGGCTGCTCGCCGACTTTGCGTCGACCACTGGCACCAAGCCTGCCTCGACTGCTTGAGGTACTTTCCACGGCTCCTTGGCTACGCGATAAGGCCTTCAGCCTACCTGAGAAGCTCGCAAGTTTCATACCACTGTTTCATACCCAAGTTGGAGTATTTCATGTTTAAATGTCCGCTGTGGCTGAATTTTGGATCCTTGTGAGTAATTGGGGGGGGGGGGGATTGGTTGAAGGTGTATGCTTTTTTTGTACTGATAGGGTGTTTCTATTATCCTGGTTCGGAGTCTTTAGGGTCAGTGAAGGGACCTCGGCACGATTGGCGTCAAGACGGTGTCATTGCAAAGCGAAAGCATACAAAATGGTCGCATATTTGGTTCAAGTAACATTGCTATTTGGGGTATGTTGGTAAGATGGCATTTGGGGTGCCTGTTGTTGCAGTTGTGCTACACTGAAGATCTTGAGCGCTTGAGTTGATGTGACCTCGGTCTCAGGGTTTAGGGTTTAGGGTTTAGGGTTTAGGGCTTAGGGCTTAGGGCTTAGGGCTTAGGGTTTAGGTCCAGAGTGCCAGTGCTTCGGCCCAGGTTCTTCCAGCCCCGCACTCGTATGATCGTGCTGCCGCCGTCAACATCGCAGGAGGCCAGTGCGAGCCCTTTAAGCATCCAATTCCCCCACCCCCCCCCCCCTTCCCCCTAAACCCTAAACCCTAAACCCTATACCGGAAGCCCCGATGTGGACGTACTGTTCAGCTAGTGGGCGGCAGAAACAAACCCGAAACCGCAAACCAACCGCCAGCCCTGCTTTACGGCGACCAGACACACGACTCCGCTGGCAGGTAGACGTTATATTGGTTGGTGGTCTCTTTAAGTGGGGTTTCTGTTTTCTAGGGGGTTCTTATTGGGGGTATCTCGGGGTTATATGAAGGTATAAGGGCAACAGATAAAGAAACCACCGGCCTTTTTCAGGTGGACGACATTTGCTGCCACCTCCTCCTGCACGGCTTCGGGGTGCTGTCAGTGGCCAGGGCGCCTGAGTGTTCAGGGACCTATTGCGGGTTTATAAGCCCTACAAACCCTTGACAAGCCCTATACAAACCCTATATAAACCTTTCTCAACCCTATAAACCCCATCAACCCCTGTACCCCCCCCCCCCTCCCCCGGGCAACCCCTCAGGCCTTCTGGGATGTTCACGGGTGTAGTACTTGGATAGAACCCTATTTGGGGTACTTATAGCACCATTTTCCAAGTGCCCCTGAACCTGCAAGCAGATAAGCCCTGTAATCCCCATAACACCCCGCCAAGTTTTGAGTAGGGATATATGTAGGGCAATTGTGGCTATAGTTGGTTATAGCCCTATTTAGGGAACCTATTATCCCCGTGTCCCCCCTGTAAACCTGAAGCCCTAAACCCCAAACCCCAAACCCCAAACCCCAAACCCCAAACCCTAAACCCTAAACCCTAAGCCCTGTACAACCTCTCGGCAAGGTCCATCCAAGCTCGGAGAAGGCGCCGAAGGTCGATGCGTGCATCATGGTGCGCGGGATGGGCATGCTGCCAGCCCAAGCCCCAGCAGGTTTAGGGTTTAGGGCTAGGGTTTAGGGTTTAGGGGTTTAGGGTTTAAGGCTAGGGTTTAGGGGTTTAGTGCTGGGGGAGTTGGGTTTGGGGTTTAGGGCGGTTAGACGCTGCGTTTTTTCAAGGCTTGGGGCTGAGGAAATTATAGAGCTCCTAGGGCTCCTTGAATAGAGGAGAGGGGTTCCTGTTTTTGTTTTTGTTTAAGGGCTCTTTTGGGTTTAGGGTTTAATCACGAAAGCTAGCTCTGTGGAGCTGGCGGGAGTTGTCGTTTACCCATCCACTGGTATTCACCTTGTCAAGAAGCTTCCAGGGAAAAAAAGGGTTCCACACCTTAACAGGTCCGAAACCCAAGACTTAAGGTGGGGGTGGGGGGGGGGGGGGCCCCCCCCCCCCCCCACCTCACCATCACCATTTTCGTGCCGGCCCCCCCCCCCCTCCTTTAAGGTGGTTGCGCGTGGGATAAGGGAGCGCCCCCCCCCTACCACCTTCAGGTCCCCCCCCCCCACAAGGTCCCCCCCCACCCCCCCCCAAGGTCCTCCCCCGCCCCCCACAGTCACCATGCTCTGAAGGTCTGTGGTACTTTGCAGAGGTCGTACTGAACAGAGCGTCCCTGTACCTAAACTTCGTTTGCGACACGGGGTTCCAGCGGGGGAAGCAAGGGGGCTGAAGGAGTTTAGGGCTTCAGATTTCGAGTTTAGGGGTCTTCGATCTTACCTGACTAACCGGTTGAGGCATGTGCCTGAAATACGGAAAAAGCTGCGCCGGCGGCTCCAAGTCCTGCCGACTCGCTGCATGCCACCCCCCTGTGGTGACTAGCTTTCGTAGCCCCTTCTCAAGTTAAGGTTTAAGGCAAGCGAGGCTAAATTCAGTGTTCCGGAGTTGAGGCTTTGATTCTGGGATGGTGTTCGGCAGTGATCTGCAGGAGGGGTCTCTTGCGGATGGGCTGCACGGACTTGCGATGGTGACCCTAAGCCCCAAACCTCAAACCCTCAAAAGACTGGTGGCACAAACAAACCCTAAACCTCCCATCTGCCAAAGCTTGCGACTTCCATACGGAGGTAAAGGTCCTTTCTCCCCCCTGTCTTACCTTCTAGGGGAGCTAAATCCCCCGATACCCTTAAGTCAATTATGGAGGTACCCCTCTAATATTCAACCCTCTAAGGGGACTATACAGAGGCCTTCAATCCCTGATTCCCTACTAGGAAGTAAGGAAGAGTCAGTTTTTGCGAGGTGCCAGAGGAGAAGGTTGTGCAGGGTCCGGGCCCTCAGTGGTTGAATGCCTGGTGCTTGCAAAGCGTTCTCATTGCTCAGATGTTGGGATGCTCCCCCTTATACTAGCAGTCCTTAGCCTTATTAGGGAGTACAGTACCCCGTATTGTAGTCCCTATTAAGGGCTGTTAGTATAAGGGGGAACATCCCAACTCATATGCCTCATATAAGAATCACGGTAGTTTAGGGTTTAGGGCGCGGGGAGAACAGTAACAATCACAAGCGTGATGACTACAGCGGGCCCCTGTACGAGCAGCAAGTGAGACCGAAGCTTTGTTCAACTTTTGCAGGACTACAACCTGAGATAAGGTAACTTCTATCCCCGCTATATGGCCTGTAGGCATTACATGGGGATATTGGGACTTCGGTAACCGAAATCCTGTATATGGCCCTTTAAAGTGCGATGGAAGGATCCCATTTTCCTGTGAAGAGACAGCAATCTCTACGCGGCCTGCAGTTGTGTAGTTTGAGGGCCTGCTCAGTTAGAATTGATTGTGTAGGTTTAGGGTTTGGGGTTTAGGGTATAGGTTTAGGGCTCCCGTGCTATGTATGGGCGAACTAGTGGGCACAAAAGGCAGCGTTTCTGCTTTGCATTGAAGGACATGGACTCGGGTTTCACTCATTCCCCCACAAAACGACCATTCGCCTTACAGTGGAGCTTGCAAGATCGCACCCAAGGATTCAGGCTCCGATTTTTACCATCGGACGGCTCAGACTCAGAATCTGCTCCTCCCAATAAAATGAAAACCCTAAACCCTAAACCCTAAAGGCCTTAACCTCTTTGAGAGCAACTTCAGGTACCACTTGCTACCTGGGGCTGCCACCGGGCACCAAGTCGTTCCGGCCCCACTTCGTTTGGGGGTTTACGAAAATAGGGGGACCCCCTAAAATAGACCCCAATAGTAGGTTTAGGGTTTAGGGTTTAGGGTTTAGGGTTTAGGGTTGAGGGTTGAGGGTTTAGGGTTTAGGGTTTAGGGATCCCCTGAGAATAAGGACCCCCAAAAAAGGTACCCCTAACTTCGGGAATCCTCCCCCCTTGGGTTCTCTGTAGGGAGCGCAGGCCCTAACAGAAGCCCAAGCCCGGACAGTGACACGCTGGCCTTTGAATCCACCTGTTGGGATGTTCCCCTCCTGCTAACAGTCCTTAGAAGGGATTATGTAATCTACTAGTTGCTTAAGAATTCCTTCCCCAAAAATAGAAAGAAACTCTTCCTTATAAGGGTAATATAGGGATTATTGTTTTTGATTCTTTTTTGGTTCTTAAGCAAATAGTAGTAATAGGGAGGACCATCATCGCCATTGGACTGTTAGTCTACGGGGGAGCATCCCAACCTGTCTACTTCGAACCTTCAGGGCGACCACATGCAGCCGTATTCACATGATGGCCATAAGCCCTAAAAAAAAACCCTAGAAACCCTATAAACCCTAACAACCCTAACAACCCTAAGCCCTACAGGCCCTAAAGCTTCCCCTTGCTTGGGAACCATATCGGCTCAAGAGGCAAAGTCAGGCCCGTCACCGGAGTCGCGGTGCTCTCGTCCTTTGGGTCGTGGGCCGTGGGGGGGCTCCGGGTGTCCACATGTAAGGCAGGGGTCAGGGCTTCGGGTTTTTAGGGGTTGAGGGCTTTCGGGTTTTTTAAAGGGGTTCTTGGTTTGGGGGTTTTTGGGGCTCAGGGTTCTCGGGTCTTGGGGGTTCAGGGTTTGGGGGTTTTAGGGTTTAGAGTGCAACCTGTGCTATGCAGCCATCGCGAAGTAGCAGTCGGAAGGTGGTTACAGGAGGGGTACAGGATGCTGGGAGTATAGTGCTTTCGAGGTCGCGTTTAAGAGAAGGCCTCGATGTTGAGTCGCGATATGGTCAGCTCAGCGCTTAGAAACTTCGCCGGATGCCCCGATGAAAAAAGCCCTAAACCCTCAATCCTAAACCCTATCCGTACACCCGCAAACCTCTTCCAGGGCCTTCTAGCTCGAGTTCTGTTCCCAAAACCCCAACCGTCTCAGCCTCAAGACATCCCCAAGATGCCAGAATGCGGTTGTCAGGCGGCAGAGAGATGTGGCTCCTGTTTTCATGGCTCCTCTGCGGGTGCGCTGCTTTTCCAAGGCCTCGCCACCAAACAGGGCCATAGTGTTCGGGATGAAGGGACCGAATTTCTCTACTTCAGGGTTCCAACCCCAGGAGCTATCACAAAACTTTTTTTCATAATGGTTGCGACCTGCTTACGCCGCTGACGCAAGTCTATAGGGTCCAGGGATCCAGGCGCCGGCAACATGTTGATCTGAACGGTTGCGGGAGTAGGTTTCAAAGCCTAAGTTTAAATCGTATAAACCCTTGGCATGACGGAATCCATGAAGCGCCTGGTGTCCGAGACTCCCAAACGCCAGCCTTGTTTTACAGAGGGACAAGCCCCAGCACCTCGTCATGGCAGAAGGTTGCTGCAACCCATGCCCCTGCATGTGAAGCAGGGCTCGCCAGAAGGTACTTAGGGTTCAGGGTTTCGGAACTATACGCCTCCTGAAGAAAAAATTTGCTGGTAGCAACAAGCACCCTATGCCACATTTTTGCAGCGACCCTGCGCGAGATGTGACCGGAGCCCTTACCACCCCTGACCCCTCCTCAAAAAAACACACACACAAGAAAAAAACAACAAGGATAAGAATTCGCTGATTCACTTCAGCCCAAGAGCCCTGAACCCTGAGAATCCTACAACTTCAACGCAGGAGTTCTCCTGCGCTGGATGAACACCTTCTTTCCGAGGTCCTCTTCCCAACAAGGACCGGGATGCGTTTGGCACCCTGTAGCTTAGTTGTAGAGTAGGTAACCTTTAGCCTTTTTTGGGTAGTAGAATCCCCTTAGAATCCCAAAGATTCACCTTTAGTTCCCCTAGGTACTGGACAACTAGGGTAGGCTTCAAGGTTTTTGGGGGCTTCTAGGGATGTAAGTTTTTGAAGGATGCATGGAGCAACGAAGGTTTGTATAAGTTTTTTTGGTGTTTTTTGCTTTTAGGGTGTAGGCAAGACCTTTGTAGTGTCCCAGGAGTCCAAACCGAAGTTCCGATTTCCATCTGGCTGGCATAAATTCTTACACCATGTAACACCCTGAACCTTGTTACTTCTTAGCTGCACCCAAACCCGAAATCCAGCCGTAGCCACTTTGGCTCGCGCCCTGGAAAACTTGCGGGGCCCGTTTTGATAGTCCAACTCGTTGAATCCGTAACATGCTCCAACTTCTTTCGATCCTTGCCGTGGGCGCGGTCGCCTCTCAAGAGGCGCCGAGCGCCGGCACCAGCTCTGTTCTTGTGGAGCTGGATGGAAGCGGACAGCCGTCCATGGTGGAGTCCTCCGAAGAGAAGCCCTGGCCCTTAAAGAATCCGCCGAAGTATGATGACGATGTCGAGAAGGCTTTGCAGAATGCAAACCTGACCGGTGGCGAGCGGCAGGAGGTCGAGAAGACACTGGATGAGTTTTTGAACAAGTCGAACATCCCAAAGCGGGCGTCTCTGGTCCAGCTGGAGGCCAACCCTCACACCGTTGCCCTGAGGAACCACACAGAAATTGTCACCAAGAAGGGCACGGACCCCAAGCTCAAGGCCCTTAACGCCCAGCACGAGAATCTCACCAAGCTCGTCCACGACCAGGCAGAAGGCGTGGCTCACACTTCTGCGGTTTTGAGTCGCAACAAGGATGACATCGACAAGCAAGCTGCAGAAGTCGACCGTGTTGCCGACCTCTACAACGCGTCACACGCCGAGACGCAGAAAGCCAAGGATGCGTACAAGGCTCACTTGGTCGCCCTCGCAGTTGCCAAGAAGCGCCGCGATGACTTGAAGCACAAGGCGGACGACGCCCGCAAGACGCTCGAGAAGGTCGTGCCGGAGTACAACGCTGCGGAGTACAAGCTTGGCATCCTGATGTCACAGACGCCGTGGTTGAAGGATGAAGCGAAGAAGAAGGCAGATGACGAGGGCAAGAAGGCCGACGACCTCGAGAACACTGTCAAGAAGGACAAGGAGATGCAGGACAAGCTGAACGGAGACGACAAAGCTTTGCAGGAAGCGATCGCGAAGCTGAACAACCTCGAATCCGCCCGGAAGCGCATCGAGGAGAAGATTGAGCACTACAACAGCGCTCCTGGGTTGGCGCCTGTGCCCGTGCTTCTCGCGCTCCTCCTCGGCCGAATATGAGCTCAGAATAGCTCAGATTGAGCAAGGGACTAGGGGAGGGGAGGCCACACGGGCCACCCTCAGCCAATCTCATTACCAACGCCCGTGAATGGGAAGGTTAAGAAAGAGGCCCTGATCAGCGTGTCAATGGCGGCGGTGGGTGATGGGGTTTCAGTTGCCTGGGTTTGCCTTCCTCGTTGATACGCTGGGGCCCATGGGGTGGCGACGCACATGCACAGATTGAAGCACTAGTGTTTGGCCTCCGCTTTCGTGCATGATTGACCTGCTTGTTGTTTGTGCTTGTTGTTGAGGAGAAGGGCTGGTAAATTTGGTTTCGCCTGCCTCAATATGACTCAATGACCTTGCCGGCCGTGTGCGAGAATGAGCGTCGAAACCCTACACCCAAAACTCTCCCGAAATCTTGTCCTTTCTGGAACGACTCCCACCGTGACACTTCACTAGGCCGCGGCTGCACAGCGATGCGCGCGTCGACGGCAGCTCTCACTTGACAGGACTCTGCTTTAACGGTCCAGGGTTTAGGGTTTAGGGCATTGCATACGGACTGATGAAGTCGGTTCCCGTCGAAGGTGTGAGAAGCTCAACGTCGAGTGCGTTAACCACGGTAAGCTAGAGTCGGTCAAGTATACGTTGTGCCTGTTGACCCATAGTGTTGAGGGTTTAGGGTCCCTGTCAATCAAAGGGGAAATTGAACGCAGGGAAGGATAGAATCAGAGTTAGAGCATGTGTGTTCTTTCGCACGGTAATCCCAAAAAAAGATTGGGTCCGGAGCGGTAGTATAGCTGAGCAGTGCACGCAGGATGACATTGTCATGAAAGCGACGCTTAGTCTTGCTGCGAGGTTGCTCCACTTGCAGAAGGGTTGATATGGGCCCTAAACCCTAAACCCGAAATCCGAAACCCTGATATGGCTGGCTGGACCGAGGTCCTTGTAGCATAGCTTGACTTCAGCTCTGTCAGCTCCCTCCTAAGCCCTGAACTAAGCCCAGTATATGTATGTATATATATATAGACCCAAATTATACACATTATATACATATATATATATATGTATGTACCTATGCCCTAAAACGCGGGAGTACAGGACACAAACTGGCATCGCTGGTTGATGCCAACCCCTTCGAGAGTGTCACGCGACGGCAGCGACATTTTCCCTTGGAGCGTCCTCGCAACTCACTGTTTTGGCTCTAGACCTTATAAATCCTGAGCTCCAAAAAAACTAAACCTAAGCTCTCAATCTGAAACCCCCATCCCTCAACCCTAAACTCCGTAAACCCCTAACCCTCCTTGAAAACCCATCGCTAGTTTCATCTCAGGGTTTAGGAAATGGGCTTCGAGATTCGAATGCCGAAGGCTCAGACGGCCCTGAAGCCCCAATATCCTCTGATGGTTTAGGGTTTAGGGTTCAGGCAAAAGGCGAAAGAGTATTTGGAGCCTTTGGGAGAGGCCTTGAACTTGTTGGTGTCCGTATCGACCCAAAGCAGGGCACTTTTTCCGTGTAGATCCACATCTGTATCAACCTGGGTTTGTTGACGGGGGAAGGGATATAAAGGCATGCATATGATGCCTTAGAATACAGGGCCTTATGTAACGAGAGTTCAAGGCTCCTGCAAGCGGATGGACCGAGCATAGACAGGCGCACGTCTCAGTCAGCAAGTTCAAGGCTCTCGTGGCCTTTTGGTGCTGCAGTATCAAAGCTCATGCCTTTCTAAGCCGAATGGAGCCGAGACTGAGGAAAGTAGGCTTCGGGCTTAGGGTTTCGGGACCCTGTGGCCGGAACGAAACAAAAGGGAGCCTGAGGGAGGGCTCGTGAGCGCGGGTGTCTTGGGGACAACTGAGGCCACAACAAATCGCACATCTCACGAGCACCACAATGCGAGCAGCCTGGCAGAGAGACTGTGCGCAGGTTTACTCACACAATCGTAGATGTTACAGCCGCTATAGGGGTCGTATCAGACTTATGCAGAGTCTCCTTTGAGTCTTCAAGGGGATGTGCTAAATCATTTCGTGCCTCCTTCAGTCGGCATATTCTTGGCAGTTCCGCTCGGAACCACATCATGGCTCCCAAACTAGCCGTCTTGTCAATGTAGGCCGCTTCCATTGTGACATGGGGTAGGAATTACAAAACAAAAGATGATATTTCGACCCTAAACCCGAAGCCCTGAAGCAATGGCCAACGCCGCGAGACTCTCAAGTTCACTCTAACCCCTAAGCCCCTAAACCCTTGTGTAAACTCCCTAAGAAACACACACCCAAGGCAAGAAGCTGCTGAACACCCCGCAGAAGGAGCACTGGGATGTCGGCAAGCCTTGTGACGAACCCTAGGCATGGGGAGGGTTTAGGATTTAGGATTTAGGGTTCTTCGAAATTTTAACCAGAACCCTACATTTTGGGATGTTCCCCCTTGTACTGACAGTCTCAAATAGGGACTATGCTAGGGGGTACCATAAACCCTATTAAGGATTGTTCGTAGAAGGGGGGAACATCCCAACCTACACCCGAAGACCCTACAAACCCGAAGTCCCCAACAGCTTTGCGAGGGAGGGTCCTGCTGCGCTGGGAAGGAGCATGACAAGATGTTTGTCCTGTCACACTTCTGGCTACCGAAACTTGGCTTCCAATTGCTACGTCTCAGGGTCTTCGCGGCTTGGGGGTTTAGAGTTTTTAAGGAAACCTTAAACTGTGAACCCTGAACCCTGTCGGGTTTGAGAGGTACGGAGTGTCTTGGGCTGGGTTGTCAATCTTGCGCACCCGAACCCCTTGACACCCCTTGCAAAGCCTCATTTCAAAGCTCCCAGCCTTGTAACCTCCTTTCCTGACACACACCTTGCACATATTCGGTCCACAAGCGGGCCAGGGTTGTTCCGCGTTTAGGCTTAGCTTTAGGGTTTAGGGTTTGGGGTTTGGGGTTTGGGGTTTGGGGTTTGGGGTTTGGGGTTTGGGGTTTGGGGTTTGGCCGCAGCTTTCAGGATCCTGCTGGTGTCGTCGCTCCTTTTCGAGGCACGTTTCTACTCGAGCACAGCTTCGAACCTCCCGAAACCAAGACCCCCCCGGGCCTCATAAGCATGGCCATCAACCAAAGTGATATCCCTGAAGTCAGGTGGGGGGGAGTGCGTTTTCCCCGAATATGGTCAGTGGCCTGCCTAGTGCCATGTCTTTCTTGGCATCATGGGGAAAGCCGCAAGGAGGCGTATAATGAAACTTATACATGGTATCTACATGTATGGAGCATTTCAACGCGCTGCGCCCTGTAGGCGCTCCACCTCAACTGGTCTGAAGTGGACTGGTCCAGGAGCGCACAGAGGGCCGATGCTGCCGAAGGCACCACTGAGAAGGGACGGAATGGTGCGTAGTAGGAGGGGGAAGAGTCAGGAAGAGTTCGGTGAGCATCCATGTAGGTAAAGACTGTTGTGCAAGAGCGGCGGTTCTTCGCAGTCCGCCGTTTGGATCTTCTAGCGAAGCTAGCTCAGCTCTTCAAGGCTTGACTCCACGAACCGCTCCGAAAGAGGCGGCCTTAGCCCTAAACCCTAAACCCTAAACCCTAAACCCTAAACCCTAAACCCTAAACCCTAAACCCTAAACCCTAAACCCTAAACCCTAAACCCTAAACCCTAAACCCTAAACCCTAAACCCTAAACCCTAAACCCTAAACCCTAAACCCTAAACCCTAAACCCTAAACCCTAAACCCTAAACCCTAAACCCTAAACCCTAAACCCTAAACCCTAAACCCTAAACCCTAAACCCTAAACCCTAAACCCTAAACCCTAAACCCTAAACCCTAACCCTAAGCCCTAAGCCCTAAACCATGCCCATCCCTTCTTCAGGGGCAGAGGAGCACGTGGACACCAGCTTCGCCGGCCTCACTGTGAAGCTCCTCCGACGAGCGGATAGCCTGGCGAGGATCTACTTCGTCCCTTGGAGCAGGAAGGCCCAAGATAGAGGGTTTAGGGTTTGGAGTCTGGGGTTTAGGGTTTGGGGTTTGTTTGGGGTTTAGGGTTTGGGGTTGAGGGTTTGGGGTTTAGGGTTTAGGGTTTGGGGTGTAGGGTTTGGGGTTTCGGGTCTTGCTGCCCGACGTACAGCTTGCGCTCATCGTCCAAGTATCATCAGTGAATCACCATGTTGGGAGACGAGAAGAGGCTGACATTCAAATTTGGTTTGTATCTATAGTAGGAAACCTAGTATATTCTATGAGTGAAAAACCAACAGGAATTGAGCGAAAACGTGCCCTGACCCTCCAAGCAGAGAAAGTGGCGGGGCTGATGGAGCTTGAGACTTGAGACTCTGGGCCTTTGTAGGATTTGGGGCTTGGGGTGTTGGAGAGTTTTGGTTCGGGAAGTTACTCCGGTACCAGGGTCCAGTTTGAAATTTTGGGGTTTGCAGGGTTAGGGTTTAGGGAGTTTCTCCGGTACCACACGTCCAAGACGTGAAGCAAAGTCTGAGCTGCTCGCACAACAGCTCGGAAACAACATCCTACACCACGCCAACCCCTCCACCCAAAACCCTAAACACTTTGGAATGTCCTTTGCCGATTTGCACTTCCTTGGAAAGGAGTGTGCAGGAATCCGGTTAACCTCACACGACGGACCTTCAGACCGAATCCTTGCCTGCCTTGCGCGAGTGTGAGAGCCGAAACCCTAAACCCTAGAACCCTAGAACCCTAGAACCCTAGAACCCTAGAACCCTAGAACCCTAGAACCCTAGAACCCTAGAACCCTAGAACCCTAGAACCCTAGAACCCTAACCCTAAACCCCAAACCCCAAACCCCAAACCCCAAACCCCAAACCCCAAACCAGACACCCGAACCCTAGTAGCCTAAGCGTTGAAACCCAAAGCCTTGTGCAAAAGTGCAGAGATGAGGACGGCGCCGGTCGAGTCAAGGGCCGGTCCTACATGCTGACGCTGGGCCTGCGGCTTGGGGTTTTCGGGGTTTAGGGCTAAGGGATTAAGGTTTAGGATTGTGTCGTTTCGGGACAATCTACCGTAAAGGCTGGATTTTTCTAAAGGGGTTGCAAGGACGGCTGGGGTTTTGAGAACGGTTGCGGTATTTGTGTTTGCATATGTGCTCTTCAGCACAGGCTGGCAGTGCTTTACGGTCTCCTTTTGGGCGCCCCAAAAAATCTCCGTGTGCATGAATAGGAACGTTGACGCTACCTCAGCAACACTACACTTGGCCTTAGAGAGCCGTTGCGAAGGGAGGTATGGGAAGGCCTGCCTGTTTAGTGGCATGCTATGATTTTTGTTACAAGCACCCATGAACTTCCAACCTTTGCCTGATGATCTCACGAGGATGCTGGTATGCCACAGCCTCTTCGGCCAGTATCTCAACCTTGCACTATGGCGGCGCTTGGGTGTCCCGATGCTCCCTAAACCCGATAACGCCCTTAAGGGTGGTGGGGCTGAAGGCAGCAGGGTGGGTTTGTGTCTGGCAGAAATTCAGCTGTTTTCTGGGAAGAATCTGCCTGTTAGGTGAATTTCGACTACATGAGCCGGTTCTTCAACTTCTACCAGCATCCCAGCCAAGCGGTCTTCGTGGCGCTGATGAGCAACTGGTTTGTCCTGTTCCTTGTCCTTTGTTAAGGCCGATCATGGGAAGTGTGATGCTTGCAATCTCCTTGTGGGCCAGGCGGACTCCTGGTGTCCACCCAGGAAGGAAATAGGCACTAAAGCGACCTTGAGCCTCAAACATCTATGCTGCTCAGATGACGGCTAAGGTACGGAAGCATGTGCCTCACGGCCGCCCGGATGCAGCTCAAGCAAGTTGAGGTGTGCAAGGGGCATGTCGGGGGTGTAGTTGTGGGGCTTGTCGACCTGGGGCTTCCACTTGCTGTACCTAAAGCAGCATGGCCAGGCCCCTCACCCTAATTCAACCCGCTCCGGAGGACGTCTGAACCCTAAACCCTAAACCCTAAACCCTAAACCTGAAGGCTGTCTACTCCCAGTACATTGAGAGCATGCTCTTCGTCCACTGGAAGGACCACATGACGCGCTACTTCGAGCATATCTGGGTGCTCCTTGGGCCCTTGAAGTCCCCAAAGGGCCCGAAACCATGATGAAGGGTTTAGGGTTTAGGGTTTAGGGTCTAGGGTTTAGGGTTTAGGGTTTAGGGTTTAGGGCCTCAGGGTGATCAGCTGATCAGGTGCCACACAGCTACGCCTTCAAGATGAAGGATGACGCTGGGATGTGACAAGCAACCTCCCTGACATGAAGCCCGTTTGGGGATCAGAGGTCCAAGAAACAGAGGTGTCAGGCTCCGAGCGTTTTTTTGTGAGCTCCAACCATCCAATCTGCCAGCCTTTCGCGGGCCTCCGGAAAGTTTAGTTGCAATCGCGTGAACTACGAAACATGTCCGACGATCTGCCGAAACCCTAAACCCTGGCCACATCCTTGCTTACTAAGGACAGCAGGGTGGACAATCCTGACCAGCGCATTCAGGAGGACGAATCCTCCCAAACCTGCCAAACAACCAAGCTTACTTGAAACCCTACGCCAGCTGAGCAAAGCACGTGCCCGACTGCCCAATTTGGCTCTTGAGAATTTAGGGTTCATGGCGTGTGCGCTCGTCATGCTCGTGGCAGATGTTTTTTGCTTGTGGGATGGCCGTCGCCAACTTGTGCATGCGGCGCTCCTAGACGTTGCGCCCTCCGGCGCAGATGGCAGGACATTGGCAGCTTCGTGCCATCCACCTACGACTTGACCATGGGGGCTCTCTGTCTGAAGGATTTTAACCGGATTGTAAGATTAAGCATTCTGGCGTCGCTCTGAGATGAAGCACATAGACCCGGACACACCGTGTTTGGGCATGGTCCGAAATTGGAGTCGCAGAATTACAGGGAGGGGCCCGCTCGTTATTAGCAAAGGCGGGCACTGCCTTCGGAGCTTGTGTAGAAAGGCCCCTACTTGTATAGCTGAGGGGGACAGTACCACAACAGGGTCCCTCAGTTCGATCAACCCGGATCTGTGAGGTTTTGGACGCCACGCTGCAGCTCAGCATCTACAGCTCCATGGAAAATTATGGACCCTAAGCCCGAACGGTTTCAGGGTGCAGGGATGCTTTGGAGGTGCATGAGTACAAAAGAACCCACGTGTACTTACAACCCAAGGTAGGGGACATAGGGAGGTGTTTATACCTGAGTTCAAGTTATAGGTACAGATTAAATGTTTTTTAAACCTTAAACCTTAAACCCTTTACTTCATACATGATTATGCAGGAGCTCACCTGAAGGCCCAGGAAAGTGTTTGACCTCTCGTGAGGCTTCATGCTCGTGAGGGTGCAGCCGAAGTCTGCATTTCCAGGGCTTCTGCTCCTTGGCCATTCAAGCTGGAGCCTCTTGCACCTCTTCTTACCATACCCACCTCTATCCAGCCCTCATCCAAACCAAACCTTCGGCGTTGTTTTCGCGCGCACGAGAACTAGCAACCCCAAGCTCTTTCGCTGGCGGGGCTTTATGTGGAAGCCAGTGACGCTGCAACGGCTTACACCCCATCTTAGGGGTACTTGGAAATAATTCTTAATTTTGGGTACTAAAATTCCTAAGAAACAGCAAAAAACATAATTTTTGCTGGGTTCCAAGTTCAGTATAGCCATGCCAAATTCCGAAGGACTCACTTGGAAGTCCATTACGGTACTACTCTGGGCATGTCGCCGGGTTTCGGGTTTACTGCGCTTCTAAGCCGACCATAACCGATGCTGTACAGCTCTGCATGGGTTACAAGTGCCGTAAACACCCTAAAACCCTAAAACCCTGAACCCCAAAACCCTAACACCCGAAAACTCTACAACCCTAACACCCTAACCCCAAACCCAAACCCTAAAACCTAAACCCTAACTGCTTCGGACCCTGACACCTTCAAGCCCTAAAGGCCCCCAAAGCCCCCAAAAACCCGAATAAGCCCAAGTCCAAGCCAGCCCAAGTCCTAAAATATACCCCATGCCCCTCGAGCCCTAGAACCCCTAAACCCTACACCCTAAACTCCGCGACCCCAGGTTTGGCATTGCTTTCGCATACACCTTGATTGGCTCGGCGTCTCGGGCGAAATGCTAAGGCTGAAACCGGGAAACTCAGGGTTGATACTGGGTTTAGGGTTTAGGGTTTCATGGGGATGATAGGGTTGATAGTGCTCATAGGGCTGATAGGGTTGATAGGGTTGATCGGGTGCACAGGTTTTTAGGGTGCATAGGGTAGATAGGGTTCATAGGGCTGATGGGGTTCATAGGGATGATAGAGTTGATGGTGCTAATAGGGCTGATAGGGTTGATAGGGTTGATAGGGGGTTTTGGGAGGCGCTTTCTTGCATTTCTCTTATTGCCGGGGCACTTTTGTCTTGGTCGGCTTTGTGTTGAGCTTCGTCGCTTGACGCGGTGTCACGTTGCACTCTCCAGTTGATCTGATTGCCAGGTGACACGGGGTGATGTGGGAGTTGTCCCTAATTAAGGTCCCTTTCTTTTTGGGTGAATCTCGTAAGGCTTCGGATGATGAGTTGGAAACCCCCTACAGCGATCCCATTTGACAACTGCCCATGTCGAGCCCGTCGAGCTCTCCCCCTAAATCCCTAAACCCCTAAATGCCAAACCCTAAGCCTACAAAGCCCCGAAAAACCCTAAGACCCTCGAGGTAGCCGTCCACTGGATCGGCAGGGACCTGGCGTTCCTGTCTTGGCAAGGCGAGCGTTTTGGAGGCCCTGTTGACAGGGGTTTAGGGGTTTATGGGGCTAATGGATGGTCCCCTTGCAGGGGATTCACTGCAGAACATGGGCATTTCCCTATTTATGGGTACCCCAATTTTCACCCCCAAAATGATGTTCTAAGGGTACCCCTACTTGGGAAAAAGACCCTCATTTTCCTTGCAGATTCCGGTGCCAGGAAGGGTTGTGGGATGCTTCAGCCTGCCTTTGAGAGTCCAGCCTTAGACGGGTGTGTAGATGAAAGAAGCAGGTTGGGTGTTAGGGCGCGGCTTGAGTATGCACACAATGCATACAGACGCGCATGTCGTGTCTCTTTCTCACTCTCACTAGCTGTTGAAGCTTTGCGGATCTCGCCCTAGTTGCCGCTCCGGTGTGGAAACAGAGATTCTTCACGGAAGATGGTCCCTGCTGGGTGCTCAAGTGTCGGTTGTCACGGGACACGGGACATGGACCACATCCTACTTGTGTCATCTGGTGACAGCGCAGACACACATCTTGCAGAGTTTGGTTGGTGGTTGTGCTTCCGATTGTATTTGTGTTGACAGCCATGGAGATTGCTGTGAAGACCATGACGGGGAAAACCGTGATGCTTCAGGTGAAGATGGATGACACAATCGAAAGTGTCAAGCTACAGATCCAAAACAAAGAAGGCATGCCAGTGGATCAGCAAAGGCTGATATTCAGTGGTAAGGAAGTTCTGAATGAACACCGTGTCGCAGACTATAACTTCGCAAAGGATGCAACTATTCACCTGGTTCCAGTATTGAAGGGAGGCATGCAGATCTTTGTGCAGAAGGTCAGCGGAAGGTCCATTACCATAGATGCTGAGGCAAGTGACACCATAGCCGATGTCAAATCCAAAGTCTTTGACAAGGAAGGAATCCCATTAGATCAACAAAGGCTGTCCTTTTGTGGCCGGCAGCTGGAAGACGGCCGGAGCTTGTCCGATTACAACATTCAGTGGGAGTCTACCTTGAACTTGGTGCCATGTATGACAGACCACCCAGTGCTTTCCGAGGATAGCTCATCAGAGCATTGAGGGCATGCCCCGATGGCAAAAACGTCCTCACCGTGTTGCACACTTTGTGGTGCAGTTTGCCGTGATGCCTGCCCGAAGACGTCGAAAACATAATGAAGGCATGTAAGCAACAAAAAACCCATGAAGTGGGTGTGGTGCAGTTCGAGTGTGAGGCCAGACAGCGATAGAAAGAAGCCGCCGAACCAAAAACATAAACAATTATATAGAAAATATGTTTTCATTCATGTTTATCCATTTCTCTATTTGCTGACAAATATGAATACATGTGTATGTATGTATATATATACACATATACACACATTTTGTTTACTGATTCATGTGTATACATACATATACAAATACAAGTATACATTCATACATATACACAGTCGAGATGTCCTTCGTTCTTCCTCCCACATCACATGCAATTGGACTTCAGAGAGCCACCTGACAATGTACCGATGTAGAGTTTTATGCCTAAACCCTAAAACCCCAAAAGCCCTAAACCCTCAAACCCGAAACCCTAAATACTCCCTTCTTCCCGAAAGCGATCAGCCTCACCCCAAATCCCACGAGCCAAAACACTTCAGGCTCTATTACCCTGCACCAGAAGCCCCTTAAACCCTAAACCCTAAACCCTAAACCCACCAGGCCACTTCCGGGCGGAGCTTCGGCGTGTGCACGACCAGAGCGACGTGGCATTTACCCAGATATGAGCACAAAGAGCTACCATACAAAGGTTTGGGGTTTAGGGTTTAGGGTTTAGGGCAAGTGCTTTCTTGAATTTCGGTTATAATGCCCTTAGCTGCAGTTTCAAAGAAGGGCGGCCGCCTCCCGGCTCGTAGTTCTGGCTTTCGGAGAGTGTATGTGTATATGCATACAATCAATCAAGGAAGTTGCCCAAATTGGGGCACCATTCTGCACCCCCTCTCAGGGCCACCTCACCCCACCCCACCCCACCCTACAACCGTCGCGTTTGTGTGCGCAGTCATCCTGTGGAGCTTGGCGACAGATGGGCAGCACAAAAAGAGAAGAGAACAACCCTCCAACCCTCCAACCCTCCAACCCTCCAACCCTCCAACCCTCCAACCCTCCAACCCTCCAACCCTCCAACCCTAAACCCTACGACCCTAAACCCTAAACCCTAAACCGGCCCTAGACCCTACGACCCTAAACCCTGAACCCTAGACCCTCCAACCCTCAGGTGAGACGGTGGCGGCCCTCCGCTCCCACGAGGCGGAGCTCCAACGCCTGGAGCAGCGCTTCGAAGCGCTGAAGCCGCCTCGCCTTGAATTGGCCTGGGAGGTTTAAGGTTTAGGGTTTAGGGTTTGGGGTTTAGGGTTTAGGGTTTAGGGTCTAGGGTCTAGGGTCTAGGGTCTAGGGTTTAGGGTTTAGGGTTTAGGGTTTAGGGTTTAGGGGGTGCCAGGACACTTGGGTTTAGGCTACATAGGGGGTTTAGGGTTCAGGTTCAGGAGTTTATTGTC